AGTAGGATTTGTTTTCAACAGCTCTAATTTCTCCATTTGAATGAATGGGCTCTCTTTTTTATGCCAAAGAAAACTTAATTTTTATTCAGATCTTAGAGTGGAAGCTTCAGAAGAGCATTAAAAAAGTAATGTATTTTGAACAAAATGGTCGAAAAGTGTGAAAGCCTCAGAGCGGAAAAAAATAGATTTTGACCAATTTCTGTCTAAAAACCTATCACCTCAAAAAGCTGGAAAAAGCTTTCTTGTATTGAACAAATCTAAAATTGTTTTTCTCAATTTTATTCTTAGAATCAGTAGCATGGTTTGAAAAAAGGTCTTGCGAAGTAGAAGTTTTATTGCTAACTGCCTTCTGACCTAACTTTTTCAATAGGTAACCGATTATTTTTTCGGTATATCTGTATTTTCATTATTTTCAAAATATGCGTTTATATTTGGAGAGTTTTTTGCCTTTAAACGTCATATCATCATTTTGAGATAGACTTTTGTAGATAGCTGGTTTATCAATTCCCTCTATTCGACGGCTGAGATTGGCCATCACCGATAAGAAAAAGAAAATTAGGAAGTCGAAAGGGTTATTTTCGACAGTGGGCAAAAAAGATGGGCAAGCTATGACGAAGGTATTATTGGCGAGGGACGTCATACCTGCAGCTTTACCATCAACGTCAAAAGAATCTTCTGGCACAACAACATGTTTAATTGCTAAGGAGGAGGTACAGTAGAATTTCCACTTTTTTGCTTGAATGTCATGTAAATATACAAAGCCTCCAAAAGCTGGCAAGATAATTGTTGTTTTAAACTTTTCTGAGAACTTATTTGTCTGTTTTTCATGAGGTATTTGGACTTTTACTTCGTTTTTGAACACTTAGACTGCTGAGGGGTAGATAAGTATTGTTAGGACCCGAATATGAACGTTTTTAAGATTAGTTGGTTACTGCTTTGTTAATTTGGGCCTTTTTTGTAATATAGGGCAGAAGCATCTTACTAGGGGCTTAGAGATTCAGATGGAAAGTCATGGTTGGGGGCTTCTGACAAAGCTGATTAAGAGAGTGCAAAATTTTTACAGAATAATTAACCAGCCGCCTTTTTTAAAGGTGTTTTAAGATCTGAAAAAGTTTGGCTTTCAGATGTATATTTCTTCCTTTGTTAGTTTTGACTTCAGGAATAGTTTTTTAGTTTATTGAGAAGGTGAAGCTTTTTAGAGGTGGTTTTTTGCTTTCAAATACATTGAAAATCTGAAACTGATGCTGGAAGTTAAGGGCTGTGAGTTCGGCCTTATGGGTTTTTTGAAAGAAAACTTTTATATCATGTCAGCATAAAAGGAAATTTCCTTTGCCTGGTGGTTTTTTACTAATTTACTGATTCGGAAGGGCCGGTTGTATTTGTTATTTCTAAGACTTATTTGTGGTAACTGGGAAGTAGTTTTGCTGCGGTATATTTTCATATAGCAAGCTGCGTCTAATCGAAGAATAGATTTTCAGGGCAAAGTTTCGAAAACTAAACTTTACAGTTTTAAAGGATTTTTATATTTACTTTTGAAGGTTTTTTTGGCTGAACGTTTGGGTGAAGGATCTTTTGCGGTTGTGAAAAGAGCGCTATGGAAGAGGGCCGATGGTGTGAAATTGGACGTTGCCGTGAAAATTTTAAGAGACCCAACTAAAGAAATTATGGAGGATTTGCAACAAGAGGTTAACAACATGCAGAGATTACAGCATCCAAATTTGATCCGGTTATATGGTATTGTATTCTCCAATCCCTCAATGATGGTAATTTTTCTGTATTTTAGTAATGTAGAGTTACGCAGTTTTTATTTCGTGTTTTTGTTTGGTCGCATAATGCCGAAGTGGATTTTTGTTCGATAGGTTGTGGAGTTTTGTGATGGCGGGGCTGTGATTGATCGCTTACGATCAGCTAAGAAACCTGTTCTTCTTATATCAACGCTTTTGGACTATTCCCTACAAATCGCTAAAGTTAGTGAAATTGCTTGGTTGTATTTGGACTATGGCCTGTGAAACAATTTTTCTTCATTATCGTAAGGGAGCTCTGAGATGAGTTTCACTGGTCAACTCTTTCAACGGCTTTTTTTTTAGGGGATGGCCTACCTTGAATCTAAACACTGCGTTCACAGAGATTTGGCCGCGAGAAATGTTTTATTAACAGATGACGACAGGGTTGGGTATTTTCTTCTCATTGGGCGTTTATTAAGTAGAAATTCTGCTACATATGTGCGTAATTTTAGATAGTCAAGATCTGTGATTTTGGCCTTATGCGTGTTCTGAACGAGAATGAACGGCTTTATACCATGTCAGCACAGAAGAAAATCCCTTTTGCCTGGTGATTTTTTACTGATTTACTGTTCAAAAGGGCTGGTCGTTCCTAAGGCTCATTTGTGGTAATTTGGGAGTAGCTTCACTGCAAGTTTTTTTCTTTGCTGCCCTACCTTATTTTTATATGTCGGTCGCTCGGAATGAAAGTTTATGGAGCATTGAAGACTAGCTTGAGGGGAGGGTGTTTTATCAAATTGATGCCACTTGGGCGCTAGCCTAGCGCATAAGTAAACAGGTGTAGCTTGTTTGTTTGGATAATGTCTGTCATATATGATTATTTCATTTTTTTTTTTATTTTTTAAAGATTATTTTTAGGTGTCCTCCAGAATCATTGAGGTACAGACAGTTTTCTCGCGCATCTGATGTTTGGGCTTTTGGTGTTACGTTATGGGAGCTTTTTTCTTATGGTGAGGAACCTTGGGCAGGCTGTCGTGGTGCTGAGGTAAGTAAATTTTTTGTTTAAACCTCTAAGATAGTTTGTTCATTATTTTATATTTGTAAGGTTCTTATCATGTCTGGCGTCACGGTGAAGCAGCTATATAAAGTTGTTCAAACTTTTTACTAATGATATTCAAGGTCCTTGCGAAGCTTGAAGCAGGAGAACGCTTGGAGCGTCCACAAAGGTGTTCCGCTGAACTTTTTGATCTTATATCAACGTGTTGGTCCAGCAATGCTGACGTACGACCCAAATTTAGTCTTCTGAAAGGGATAATAGCCGATGTAAGTCTACACTGAATGAGCAAACGATGGGTTTATGTCTTTTTTAGGGATGAATTTATTTAGTTTTACTTTATATTAGTAAAATTTGGATCGGAATTTAGATCAAATTCACTATCGTGGAATGTCGTGAGGATTGCGTTCCTAACGGTGATACTGATCTCGAACTGAAGAACAATGACCGAGTTATTGTGATTGAAGGAAGGTTGTGTTGTTGTCAAAATTTTTTTTTTTGGAAATGTGTTAAAGTTTTTGACGTTTTTTTGTTACTTTTTAGTTTCTTTGCAGTGGCGTGGTTTGGTATGGCCAAAATATCAGGACTCGTAATTTCGGACGTTTCCGAAGGTCTGCTATTCACTTAAGAGGAGAAAGGAACAGTGTTTCACCTGCCGTTATGAATAATACTTCAGAACTACAAGCAGCTAAGAATCCGAGTTTTGGCGGTAGTGAAAAGATATCTAAACCAGTCCCAGGTTTCTTCTTTTCTATAGATTTATCGTTATCTTTATCTCCTCTTCAGCATAGTTATTGCGATTAAAACTTTTTTGTTACCACTTTTGGACAACAAGTTTTAGGTTCTTTTATACATGCTGGACATGGTGATATTAATCCGGCACGCACATGGGGACAGCCGGAGAAAATTGACGATATTTATTTGAAAAATCCAATATTGAGGAGAGAGGGAGAGATAAAAAGGTATTTTTTACTTGTTTTGTAAATATTAAAACGCGTCTGTTATTGACATTATTATGAAGGAGGTTTTTTAACCTATTATGAACTTTTAAATTACTTTAAAGCAGTGAGTCCCGGCGACTTCAGTTGATTCCTTCCGTAATTAGTATGCAGTCACCTCAACTTGCCCAAACATCCCAACCACCAATTTCATCTGCTGCGAGGCAAAAGTCTGTTGCTCCTTCTTTACCAACCAAAAGTAAGGATTTATTACTAACGTATCTCGAGAGTAGCAATATTTTTAAACCTCTTCTTTTGTGATTTTTCTGATGAAATATTTCTTGATTTTTCTGGACTACATTTACTCTTAGCCAATGTTTGTTTCAGCAAAACAAGTTGAAAGAGGTACGAAAGTATCAGACGGCAGGGAACTGTATTCTTCGTCATCTGTTGATCCCTTTGCTCCGTTTAGTGAGTACTATTATGATGCGTTTGACGAAAACTCTTTTGATTCATCTTGGAAATCTCCGCAAATAAGTAAGTATTTCAAACTGAATGTTCTGTGTATCTTGCTCATGTAGCATTATAGAGGGAATATTTGTTGATCTGTGCACCTGTTTGTTTTTTTAGTATTTGTTCAATTTATTCTTGGCAGTGATTGCGTGTTAGAATGGAATGGTTTATTTCGTACAGTATTTTGACGCTCTTCGTTTTTAATGCTTTTTCCTTGTTTTCGCGCTTTGCTAAGCTTTTGTTTACTTTCTCACGAATAAATCTTTAGACGGCGTTTACACGTCCTCGTACGCTTCTCCGCCGTTACATACTGCTTATGATACACCGCCGCTTGAGCCAACTCGAATTTATCAGCAGCCTTTTATTGCTGGCAAATCCGGTATTGTTGTGTGTTGAAAAGTATTCCCTTTCGTGAAACTATAAAGTAACTGAATTACCTGTTCCTTTGAAATATCGGTTTTGTTATTAGTACTTAGGAAGCTTTATTTTTTCAACTAGCAGTTGTTGTAGATCACGGCCAGCACAATTTACCTCCGGCTGATTCGGCTTCATCGAGTTCCGGGAGTAACTGTGAAGTAGTGGGCTTTTCATCAAGGGCTAATTTTGAAAAGAATGTGACTGATGTTTCTGAAAGTGTCACCCACAGAGCTGTTTCAGGGCCCCTTCCGCCAAGAAAAAGTAAAAATTGAATTTCCAGTTTCTATCCCGAAACATTATTTGTTTTTTTAATTGCTTTCAACACAACTGTTTTTTTAGAAGGTTGGATGAGTACTGACAAACTTCAATTAGTTTTTTTTTACTTTTTTAAAAGCCTGATTTAACTGATGTTTTAAAGTACGGTACTCTCAGACTTCATGGTTTTGTTGGAAGTGCATTCTTGAAACAAACGAATTAAGTATTTTTTTCAATTTTACAGACAAAGGTGGTAACCACTCATTCCAACTTCCTCCTCCGTTACCAGCAGCCAACCCGTCATCACACGAATCTGGTACCATCGGAAATCTGAATAACAGTAAATCATTTTTTTGACCTTTTAATTTCAAGTGAGGATTCAGGATTTCACGTCACATACAGTGACACTTGGTTTTTTACACATTTCAAATTAATTGGTTGATTCATTATGTTCTTTAGAAGTTTACGCGCCGACACAGCGTCCAGTATGTTTTTCACTGAAGCCAAACACTAACAGGTAACATGTTTTGACTTTGAATTATTTCATTTTATGCAGTTTTTCCCTTTTTTCATTTTTCTTTTTAGTTGCTAAACTTTTGTTATTTTCTTCTTGCTCAGAAATTGATAGGTATTTTCATCATCACTGTTTACGAATAATGGAAATTATAGCTTTTTAGCAATTAATGGATGAGGAAGTCGGAGTATAATGCTAAATTTTTGAGATTTCTTTCATTTTTTTCTATGTAGGAGTAAAAGTGTTTATAGGTGTATATTGTATGGTAGTCTAAAACTGCTTAATTACAGTTACGGAGGGAATTCTGCGGTTTCTTCGAACACGCATACTCAATTCATTACTGGGAATACTACGGTAATTGTTGAATTGTGGAGCATTTTTCAGCAGCTTTTTTGTGCTTTTTTAGTTTTACGTCACTGAACTCCAGTTAGTTTTTAAATTTTTTAGCGTCCTGCCTCAACCTTGGGTTTGAAAACACCTTTAGGAAATTTTTCGAAAGCTCCTGCATCTCTTTCGAACATATCGGCACCATATCACGATCCAGGCTCGAAGATATGTGAACCTGCCAAAATTGAAACTGAAAGTGCGCGGTCTTTATCAGCTCCAAAACTAACAGGTAGTTAAGCTTTTAAAATCGTATGTTTTGAACAAGGACGCGTTCTTCTGTAGTGGGTAGACTGACATTTTTTGCTCCAGTCTTAGCGTTCCTGTTTTTATATTTGCTAAATTCGTCTTGTACTGGCTTACATTGACTCGCTTATTAGGTAATGGAGCTCCCAAGAACTTTAATGGCTGCGTGTATTATGCTGCTTCTTTGAGGGAGGCTCATGCTGAGAAATTAGCTAGAGCTAATCCTCATGTTTCTAATTCAAATTCTGGACCGGTGATTGCTGAGGGCGCTGGTACGCCTGTGCTGCATCCGCAGAGTTTTGCGAACGCCGCAACGAATTTCAGAGTATAATATTTTCTTTCTAAGCCATATTATCTTTAAAGTAGCCTTGAACAGAATATTTTTGGTGTACAAAGGTGCTGTAACTGTTAAATAGGACTTGTTTTGCAGGGGACCACATTTGCAGCGAATGTACCACAGGCAGTTAGTGGTAACGCTGGGAAGGATTTGTTTCAGAAGTCAGCTGCTATATCGGCTAAAGTTAATCTTGCAACAAAAAGTTCCTTGAACTCGTCTGCTTTTTCTGGTGTGGTTGATGGAGGAATTAATGTTTTTTCTTCAACAGAATTTCCTGGCTCGGATCCATTCGTGGTAATTAATTCCTGTTTAACATAAGTTAATTTCATGGCTTGCTCATAAAATGATGGGAAGATTCAAATTCTGAAACTATATATTAATTCTTTTATGTTTAAGGTCTCTAACTCTGTGAAGGACATCGTGAACAGAGAGCGGTACAGCGAGTTCTACGCTTTTCCTGTAATTTTTTTTGGCTCATTTGGGTTGATTTTTTGGGCGGTAACATACGCATTTGATTTGTAGACTGCTCAGACGACATTTTCACCAGTTGTTCCTGGAAGTGGTGCCATGGCAGGAACAGCCCTACCTAATGTTTTACATCCTTCTGCAACATCTTTATTATCGGAAGCCGGAGGCCACTCGATATCTAACTCGCTGGAACCTGCTGCTCAAACAACTGTTAGTTCACTCTTTTACTTCGAGATTTCTGATCGCTTGGAGTTGCTCTTGAACGTTGCTAACATTTTCTTGCTAGCTAGTTTATTGTGGGACAATTTAGGATCACACCTGCTTTGTTAACGCTTTCTATCTGGACTTTAAAATTTTTGTGAAAATTGGCTAAACCTTAACTTTATCGTTTCCGCTGTGAGGTTTAAACGGAGTTTTTCAGTTTCCGTCCTTCGCATCGTCAAATGGGACATCGATTATTTTAAACCCGTCTAGTGCTCTAGTGCCCGATGATTTGTCGTACGATAAAACAACAAATAACGCTTTTGTCAACACTTCAACATTCAGCTGTTTTCCCTCTACTAGTGGCGTTCTGGGGCAAGAGATTCCTAACCGGGCAGTGTATGACACGCAGCGACAGGTTCTCAAGCCGAAATAGTTGGAGACTTGTTAAAATAATTATTGAAGAGTAATTGTATCACTTATAAAAAGGGCGACTTTGGCGCTTTCTTTTGTGCTTACATCGTATTATTAAAGTCTCTTCATTTCATAAATCACGATTGAATTTTTAGCAGCCTCAGTGTTGGTATCCAGGAGGGCCTTCATTTTCGACCACCTTGACACCTCAGAGTTCTAGTTCTTTGGGCGCTGTGGATGGAAAAGCTTTGGTGTATAATGCGAGTGGTAATTTGCATCTTTTTTAGTATTTTTAATTTCTAGTCACCATAATTTAATGCTCTCATTTTGCTATATTCAAGCACCTTGAAGTTCTGCGTACATTATTTTCCTTTCTTTTTATTTTTGATTTTCCTGTTGCAACATCTGACTTTGCTGCATTGTTTTTAAAGTAGTGCGTATTTCCTGGAAGTTGAACGGTTTTCAGACGTTGACTTGTTTCTTTTTTCTGAAATACAGTTAGAGATACCTTTCTGGTTTACTTTTTTTTTAATTGAATTGTTTCTATTAATTAGGATAAAGAATTCTCTTATTATCAATTAATTTCTATGAGGCTATAGTTTAAACAGAGGCGTCTGTTCCCAAATTTTAGATTTGTTGCAGTATCTACTACAGAATAATTTTCTTTCGAATTGAGTACTTCTGTTCTAATGTCCGCCCTTAGTTGCATTATTTGGAGTCATTCAAGACAATGATTAATGATTATTCCTTCTTAGGCCACATTTCTTGAGGATGCCTTATATTGTCTTTGCTGCACAGGATTTGATTTAATCAAAATTTATAAACAGATTTTGTCTTATTGAACTTACTAAAGTAAAATTGACCCTGATCATTCATTAAAGCTTTTCCAGCTCTAATCGTTTGTATTTTTGTTGCTTTTTTCTTTTTTTTTCAAACGATCTTTTTCAGAGAAAATTTCAAATCACAACTTGTACTTTTCTTGGGTAAGTTCCAAACTTAAGGATTTGTAATTC